TATTAATTATTTTAGTAATAAAATTGATTTTATTTTTCCTACTGATGAAACATCATCGACTAGTACAATGATTACAAAACGTGACAAAAATTTACAAGAAAATAATGAAAAAATGAATGGTCGTGTATGGACAGAATTTAATGATATTAAACAAGTTGTTTCAGGTTACAAATCTTTATAATAAAAGTTCAACAAAAATTGAAATGTTTTTATTTTGTAGCTAATTCATTACGAGATATGTGGAATCGAAAACAACAAGAAAAACGTGCACCAGAATTTGATGGCCGAGCTGAATATCCTCCACCACGTTTAATTCCACTTTATGTTAATTTAAATAGTAAAACTTCTCTTACAAATCCTATTGGTATTCAACCTATATTAACAACAAATATATCTGAAAAAATTTGATTCTTCTTTATAAATAAATCTTATTTGAAAAATTTTGTCTTTGTCTATCAGATATTTGATGTGACTTTTTTTTTTTCTTTAAGATTTTTGTTATTTTTTAAAAATAAAATGTCATTTGAAAGATTAAATATTGTATTAAAAGAAATTTCATCATCAAATTCATATTTATCTATTGAAAATTTAATTGAAGAATATTTTTTTAATAAAAATCTTCATTTAACATCAATTGAACAAGAAAAATTCGTTCGTTTATGTTTAAGAAAATTATCCGATTGGTTTAATCAAACACCTGAACAAATAAAACAAATTAAAATACATTTTCATAAATATTTTATTCAAACACCATTTCTATTAAAACAAAAACAATTAATTGATTTATTATTAAATCAATTAAAAATTTCATTTAATGATTTTTTTAGTTTTTTATTAATTGATTTATATGAAAAAAATTATCAAAAATTATTATATGAACTTGAAAATGATTTAGATATTGGATTTATTATTCATTTACCTGATCGAATTAGTAATATTTTTATGACAAATATTCCAATATGTTTTCAATCGAAAATTTTTTTTCATCGTTTAAGTCAATATATACAACAACAATTAATTACTATACATTATCCAAATATGATAGCACAAGTTGATACAAATGTCAATTTTCTTTCTCAACTTGTTCATCGAGCTGCAAAATTAGGTAAAACATAACTATCATAGACTATTTAAATCTTACATATAATGCCTTTCTTCCATATAGAATGAAACAGAAAATATGTCTTTTCTCTTCTCAGTGAAGTTTTTAAATCCTACAGATAGGTAACTAACTTGAATGTCAGATCGGTGGCTACTAGCAGTCCAGGATCACCCACTGTATCTGTCGAAGCAACTACAGACCCCTTTAAAACTTCGAAAACTTTTGAGTTTAATAAGGAAAATTATTAGATTTGAACCTGATCGAGTATATTGTTTTTATGCATTTGTTTCTGAATTCTATTGGTACCATTCAGTTATTGATCTTACAGCTAAAAATTGATCTTAAAAAAAAACATCTAATTTTAGGTTATACTGAATATATTTGGCGTCCATTATATAAAAATTTGTTTGTTAAAAAATGTCAAAATGATTCTCTATGGTTACGACTTGCTCAATATTTTCTATTAGAACCAATAGATGATATACTTTTATATACAATTGAACATGGTAATGCAAATATACTTGATTTATTTCTTAGTGATCGTATTATTCATTTACCATTATTAGAAACATATTTAATTGATAGATTAATTTTTTCTAAACAATTATCAATTGATACTTTACGAACAATACTTATTTATTTAACAATGTCAATTAATCGTTTAGAAAAATGTTTTGAAAATGTTTTTAAACGTTATTTACAATTATGGTCACAAGAAAATTTTATTCGATTTTCTTCAAATAATCAACATTTATATATATGTCAATCTATAGCTATTTGTTTATCATTTAATAAACAAATTAGATTGAATAATGATAAAGATACAATTATAATCTGTGTTTTAAATGGTATTCGTATACATCTTGAATCAACATTTGATTATATTAGACGACGTGGACAAGTTATTGCCGAATTAATTATTCAACATAGTCAATTATTTTCACAATCAAATCAACTTCAATTTGATACATATGATAAAAATCATCCGGAAGTACAAATGTTAAAAAATTTAGCTCAAATTAATCAAACATTAAATGATAGACAATTATCTGATGATGAACATCAAGAAATTATTGTGAAAAAAGGTCAGCCAACATTTTTCTCTCATGAATGAAACCTGCACAAATCATATAAAAGCTTTTCAGTTCCCTAAATTGAAAGTATAGAATCTAGAAACGGTAATTCATCTGTGTCTGTCTAGAACACTTGGTACAAGTGATCACTCTCATGGTACAAGTGACTAAAATCGTGGTACAGATGACTGGATTGATGAGTCAAATGACCATATTGATGGCGCGAATGGCTCTCTCAATGACGCAAATGACTATTGCCACAGTACGAGTGATGACACTCATAGTATGATTAACCATAGTCGTGGTTATTCAGACCAATATTTTGGTCATTAGAACTACTTTCTTGGTTATTTATACCATTGTGTATCGTACACTCGTGCCGTCTCTGTTGTCAGTGACCATATTGATGGTACGAGTGAATTAATACTAAATATGGTCGATAACTTGGTTGAAATGAGGATAAATGTGAAATAAATTACCGTAACTACTGCCTACATCACGAAAGATATAATCAAAAAATCCATAAAGACACTCTGAATGTTCACAAATGCGACACATTTGACCGTTGATTTATCAAAGATATGACTCAAAAGCACAAAAATATGCTCAAAATGCTCACAATAATACTCATCGCAATCATAGATGTTGCCTGAGTGACCGCATACAGTGTTCAAAACAGTATAGATATGATGATCTTGTCTGTATTTGTCATCACATGAACCATTCTTCTGACCACTATTCCTGTGTTTTCGAGAAATTTTCGCATTTTATTGCTCGTTTTGAAACAACCCTATGGTCCTTCGAACCGTATTTATGATCATCTGAATCATAGTTAACATGTGATTACTAGATTACAGAGACAGACGGATGCAGATGCACATCTATTTTCATACTACTAAGTCAGTCTAAGGTTAAGCTAATCGGCTACCGATTAGCGTTACTTATTCTATCAGTCCATAAATAAATAAACAAGCAGAATAAAACTGTTATTCTTTTTTTTTTTTTATAGAACCCGTTGTATCTATAAGTGAAAAAGCAACATCTTCAACAAATACAATTATTCTTCATGATGCATCGATTGATGATGATGATGATGATGTTGACAGTGAATTTGAATCTTATGATTATTCTCATGATAGAGTTAAATCTGATGTTGAAAAACCTGCATATATTCGAACATGTCTTGCTAATTTAATAGCAACAGATAAAATTCCTCAATTAGAATCAGCTTTAAATATGTTACCATCATTAATTGAAATGTATAAAATTGAATGTGAAGAAGTTGCTTTAGAATTAGTTCGAATATTATTAAATTATAATAGTACATTTGATATTGAAAATTTTCAAGAATTACAATTAAATGGTTTAATAACATTATGTCAAAATTATCCATTATTAATAAGTGATTATTTATGTAAACAATTTTATGAAAAAAATTATACATTAAATCAACGAAGTCTTATACTTAAAATAATTCAAGAAACAGCAAAAAAATTATCACAAATTGATCATATTCAAACTAAAATTCAAAATGAATTATTTATTTCAGATGAAGATGAAGATGAAGATGATGATAATAATAATAATGATAATGATTCATGGCGTTCAATTATAAATAAACGTTTAAAATTAAAAACAAAATATAAAATAAAAAATCATTCAGAAAAAAAAATTTTCTTTAAAGAAAATTATTTTGGAAATATAGTTGGACATTTTTTTTATCCATTAATTTCATTTATTGATAAATCAACACCACATTTATCATTAATTGATGGTGATAATGATTATTTATTATTATGTGAACTTTTAGCTTGTTTAGGTCGTTTATGTATTCATGCACAAAATACTTTACCATTAAATAATATGATTAAACAATTATTAGATATATTAAAAACATTACAACAACATAAAGATCCTGGTGTTAGACATGCTGTTATTTATGCATATGCATGTTCTCTTGTTTCAATTGGAAAAAATTCTTATCATCAAGATTTACAATCTTATTTTATTGAATTAAAACAATGGTTAGATTTTATTATTATTCATGATACAAATACTGAAGTACAAAAATTAGGACGATCAGTTAGACAAATTTTATTAAAAACTTTACAAGAAATAACAGACAATTAATATTACATATTATTTGGTTTTTTTTTCATGTATTTAAATAAACATCGGTATATATATTTTTTAAAACGATTTTTCTACTTTTATTTTTTCTCATCATCGTTATTATTTTTAATGTTAATAAAGAGCGTATCATAATAACTAACAATAGAATTTCTCAATCATATTTTTTATTATTCTTTTTCTTGATATTGCAGTAGTGTCAAACTTGAAATGTTGAATTCAAGTATTCAGCTATCAGTT